GGTCCCAAAGACACGACCAGAATTGTCATTCTCAACCAGCGAAGTCCTTGAATTCCACCTTTCTTGGCCTCTACAAGAACCTTTAGATGTGTAATATACATAAGATCTTTTGGGCGTGTTTTGATTTGCCAAGATAACTTCAGCTTAGGCTAAGGCTGAAGTTAACTAACACACATTTGGGGCTGCCGACCTTCACTCCAACTATGAAGTTCACAGATACTTAACAATAAGACTTTGTGCATATTGCTACCTGCCTGCTGCAATGTAATTGTGCATCTATTTCAGGAAAATTTGATTTTTCTCCCTCCCCCACCCCCAGTCTCAGCAATCCTGTATAACTTGGTTTACACATCAACACCTTCTCCCTGGTATTTGCTCATACAATCTTGTGTATACACATATGCACATGTAGATACATGCACACCCAAAACAGCTGCTTATAGAGTGTAATGCTTTCATTAAACATGTCTTGAAATTCCATTCAGCATGACCTGAAGCAAATGGCAGGTCTATGATAGCTAAAAAAAATGTGCAGAAACCAAACACACTCCTACGAGATCACTTATTTTAAGGAGATAATCTCATACATGCTTCTTCCTGTGATTATATCTGACAACTTGCTGCTCTCTATGGTTGGGTGGATTCCTGATTCATAGCATAGTACTGGGAAGTGATCAAAGAGTTCAGCAAAATATGGTGCTAATTTATATAGCAGACAAGGCTAACACTTGACCAATGAGAAACATTAATCGTAACTAAATGGTATTCAGCTGAGGTATATATTGCACAACAAGCTTACACTTTCTGGCTGATTATAATTACTTTTAATATAAACTTTAGATGCTTTTCCTTCTCTCTTTCTCTCTCTGATCCCCCCTCCCCTTGAAAGCTGTAATTCTAAATCCCTGTTTACTTTGTTTGGATCAGCTATGACCTTCTGTTTTAAAATGGACCAAAATATTAAAGCTAGCATACACCTTACATCAGTTATGGGAAGGAAGGAAAAATTAATTATTGGGTGTAAAGAATACTTTGCACTGCAGTATTGGTCATTAGATCTTTTCTAGCCCAAGTTCTATCCTGCTGAGTTGAAAGAGCTTATGTCTAGCATAGACTCTGTGATGCCTCTGCTACTTTTCCTCCACACAGGGAAAGCACAATATGCAAAACACTATATTCCTACATTTTATAATTAATTTTTGAATGCTTCACCTATACATATTTTAATAATTTCTGATTTATCTGATGGTATCTATAATAAATTTTCTATATTTCAATAAATGAAAAGAAGGCCGTTTCAATCCAACAACAGAGTGTCACACAATATAGGCCTGTCAGGCACCAATTTTTACTTCTAACATGTAAGTTAAAGGATAAGGAATTTATAATGCTGCCTGTGAACGAAACCACTTTTCATACACAAATGTGATCTTTTTTTTCTCAAAGGGTAATACAACAGTACATTTACATAAACTAATCCAAACAATCTATGTATTTGACAATGGCAAACCTCACACAGACTGCCTATTGTTGGTTTACATCTTGGAGTTCTTTATGTTGGCTTGTAACACTGCTCTAGCTGTCAAAGGTTTGACTTGGACTCTAAATAAATGGTTATACAAGTGCTGTGCAGCGATATTGGACTTCTTTGGAAAAGAAAACCTGCTGTGTATGAATTCAAAAGCTATTAATTTTTCAGTCAAAAATATTCATGCCTATTTCTTTTAATAGAGAAACACTGTGCTGAGCAACTGAGAGATAATGTTGACTAGTGGTACAGAATTTTCAATAGAGCAGTTAAAAATAAATTTAGTAGGAGGTCCCCACCAAAGCTATAATTTTTCCAGAATATAAAACATTTTTAATACTAATCAAGACAGTGCATCCTCCCTCCCTGTTTTCCTGGATCAGACTTACATTTCCTACTGCTTTTTCCTATTTATTGGCTGTGTGGTTGTGCTTATTATGGTATCCCAAACTGGAATTACTGGAACAACCAAATTTTGGGTAATGAATTACTAGAAAACTGGCTGAAAGCTGCATGCCATCTTGCAATTACCTTCCTAGAGATCAGAGTGGGAATCCTGTAACACTTCCGATAGTATAATCTAACAATACCACCATCATCGCTAACTACTGGTCATCCTGGAGTGGATGGGAGTTCAAATCCAGCACCATCTGGAGGGCCTAACATCTCCACTCCCACTACAACGTTGAAAGCTATGGAGAATAACATAGTTACATATTCATTCAAACTGTGTCCAAGTAGCATAGCATCACCGATGGTTTAGCACCGACATTCTACTTTGAAGGTTTGCATTTAGTACATGCCAGGAAGTGCTCAGCTAGAGGCTGCTGGGGGAAAACCTACATGCCTGCTTGTTGTCACATCAACAGTTCCAGTAGGGCTCCTGCCACCTTGTAGTGAAGGGGAGGAGGTTTGCCTGGGAAAGGGTCCAAGAAAACGGGGGGGGGGGACCCAACAACCCTATTTTGTACAATCTAGGCTGTAGCTGAAATGTAGTAACAATGGAAGTTTTCTTCAAGCAGTTCCCTGTCTACCACATGCTCATTATTTAGTATTTTTGAGAACAGGGAAATTAAAAAAAATCAATGGAATTGCTATTGAGAGAAATTAACATGGAAAGTGCATATAAGAGATACTGGAGAACCAGTGTGGTTAGATGGTTGGACAGAGGATTTGGGAACTCCAGGTTCTGGGCCCCACTCAGCCATGAAGCTCACAGGATGAAACTGGATAGTCACAGGCTCTCATTCTAACCTACCTCACAGGATTGTTGTTAGGATAAAATGGAGAAGAGGAAGAAGAGCTTTAAGTAAACCACCTATATTTCCTTAAAGGAAAAAAGGTGCAATATAAATATAATAAATGGGAATGAATAAATGAATAACTCAGCTACATCTTATGCTTACAGAACTGTTACACTGTTTGCACCATTGAAATATTTTGTAGAAAATTCTTTAAGATAGATCAAGAGACTAACAGGAATCAGGGGTTTTTATCTTCTTTTAATCTTACATTACAAAAAGTACATCTGTCAAACTAGCATGTCTGAACACGAGGGAGGGAAAGATAGCATTTTCTTAAATGTATGTCCATTTATTTTACTTCTGTCCTCAAAATGCTTAAAAATTCCTAATTGCTTCATAAGTTTATTCCAAATTGAGGGAGTGATTTGTTACTTTGTTTTAAGATTTGTAGGGTTTAAAGGTACACTGCCTTTATTTGATTTGACGTTGAGTTGTATGCAAATTAATTTGTGTTGACAATCTGTAGTTAGTACAAGTGGCTTTAATCAATATTCAATGATGCAGCATAATAGCAAAGTATTGGTTTACCTGTTTTGGCTTCCTTTCCCACTGGAAATAAAGCATACACACACACACACACACACACACACATATGTATAATTTACAGTGATAGTAATAAAAAGTAGTCAGGGTTGTTAGCCCAGTAAATATGGCTGTCTGCCTAGGTGCAGTTGGTAGAGAAAAATTAATATCTGAAACAGAACCCATTAGAGAGATACAGAACATAAAATAATTAAAATACTGCATCTCTCTGTTTTCCTAGAAAATAATTTATATCTTTCAGGTTTCCTGGAAAAGAAAGAGCTGTAGCAGGGGATAGAGTGCCATAAAGAGGGGAAAGTCCTTCTAAATGAAAAGCAAACAGCTAAATACATATTGCCTCTTAATGTCATACCTTAATTTTTCTTTTCATGAATGCTACATTCATATAAAAAGAGTTGCATACTTCAGAAGGATGTTGCTTCTGTAGTGTTCATCATTATCAAGGAGCATATCTCCATTTTTTTCAATGCAAGGGAAATTTATGTTCACTAAGATATTCCAGAATTATCCTAGAATCTGTTTTTAAGAGAAGAACTATTCTCTCTATAGTACAAAGTGTATAAAGGGATAGTGAGAATTTTAGTCTGCTAATTTTCTTGTGAACTATTCAAGATTTCCTTTTTAAATAGAGCGTATACCTCTATGCCTTTTAGCATTTCACCTCTTTCCTCAGTGAAAAAGAAGACATTAAAGTGCTTAAAGATTGTTAAACCCATAAAACTTCCTGAGCTAAACATAACCAAATCAAATCCTACTTAAACACATGGAGTTTAGTACATAGTGGTGGCATTCCATCAACAGGTAAACTGTTGAATTTTCAATTCTGCAGGAATGAATTTTCAGTCTTGCTTTCACCGGTTTCATATTTTTAAAATCTCAAGTTCTTTCCATTTGGAGTATGAACAAATTTGTGCATTTTGGTAAATTCTTATCATAAGCAAACTGAAGTAAAATTCTCACCCATCTCTATCCTGTAGGTGAATGAGCAAGTGTTGTGCCATGTGTACCCCTCACAAAACGTATTTGTCCTGGCAGAGCGTTTCATTTATATTATAAATTGTCATAGCCGGTAAGATTTAGGCTGCAGTCCCATACACAGTTATTGAAAGCTGCTGCTAAGCTCAGTGAGACTAACTTCTGAGCTGACATGGCTATGAATACTGAAACCCTATACATTTACTGAGATCCCACTAAGTTCACTGGTGCTTTCTCTCAGGAAAGTGGAAACAGGATTACAACTAAAATAAAAGGGGGAAATGGCTTACTGATCCTTTTCCCCTAAAAACAACAGCAAAATTAAATGAAACATACTCCAACACACAATTCTCCATATACTTCCAGACTGCATCTGATGAGGTACACTTTAGTCCACTAAAGCTTGCACTGTAACAACTTTGTTAGCCTTTAAGATGTCACAGAACTCTGTTGCTTTCCTGCAATACAAACTGATACAACTAACCCTCTAGAAAACGTTTCTTCATTGTTAATATTCTAAGCCTAGCAGCAGAGAACATCTCTTCACTTTGATTTTTTTTAAATAGGTTGCACTTATACTTTCTGGTAGAGGGGACAAAGGACTGCTGTGAAGCTTTATTTTATTTTATTTTTTTTGTACAGATACTTACAGGCTGAGGGGTAGCTTTTGGTTCAGTTGACTTCACATGCAGGTGTGTCATCATAGCTTGCAGGCGCTCTTTGTCTTTTGCAAGCTGAATAGGAAAGGAAATGTTAAAAGTTACTTTTTTGAACAAAATCCAGAAATGTACTTCTCTAATTAAGCCCTGGCACTGTACCTGGCAACACGCCCCCACACACCCCCGCCCAGTCTCTGTCTCTCTCTCTCTCTTACTTCTTAGTGGTTTGAAAATGTTATATGACACCCCCTTTTTTCTTTTACAAAACAAAACACATGGTGCTGGGCATCAGCTTTTTGCAAAGCTAAATGCATTAGTTGTTGACTGAAGCAACCCTAGACCTGCTGGCACCACTGGATTCATTGCAACAGTGAATTAAAGAAATTAATAAATCATATTAATGAAGCCACCAGTCCTACCAAAATTCATGGTTAAGAGAGCAAAGTACAAAGGGAAATTAGGTAATAAACAAAGTGTCCTTTTTCTTGGTTTCGTATTTAAAATAAATGTCAAATCTGCCATACATTCCTGATGTTTGCCTCTGTGAGACTGTTATTCTGAGATGATCTAGAAAAAAATAATGAAGGTGCACCAAACTCTTGTTCCTTTGTAGAACAGGAATTGCAAAAAGCTGTAACTCTGAAGGAGGGAAAAAGGAGATTTCCCTTTCTCATTTGTTTGGAGCCCACAGAAACCACTCTATAATGATTATGATTTTTGTTATGAGTACTATCTTTCAGTGTTAACTGGATGCTTTTCATATGAAGATTTGAAAATTAAGACAAAATACAAGTATGGGGGACTACAATAAGTGCCTGTATTCTAAGCTTTCTACAGGTTACAACCATTTGGGCAGATTTATTTAAATTAAATAACAATATACCACTTTTTAAGAGTTTGCATAATGATTTTCTCTTTTAAAAATCCTTGAAAACACATGTTTTAAAAAATACCAAAAGCAAATGAAACATTAACCTCAAAAAGAGCAGAATAAAAATGACTCAATTAGTGAAGCCACACCAAAAAAAGTGAGATTTAATTGTTTCTAGGGAGGGAATCTTCCACACTTTTCAGATAACTTTTGGGGCTGTAACAGAAGGACCTGTACATGTTAGTAGCGCTCAGTCTTATTGGTAACTTTAGTTTATATGCTTGGCAAGACTAAGTTTTCATTCAAAGAGTTTCTATTCCTTGTTGGGTAAGAGAAAATAAAGAAATCTGTCTGCTAAGCAATATGTTCTTGAAAGAGGCTTGCTCCTAGAACAAGAGTGAATCCCACCATCCACAGGCCAGTATCTAGGGATGATGGGAGTTGTAGTTATTTCAGCTGTGTACACAAGAGTGTGCCTGCAGTTTGAGAAAGAAGGAGACAAGGGCTGTTCATGCATATGGCCACATGAAACTTTATAAAGGAATTTTTTTCAGCCTAAGGCTAAAATTCAATTTTGAGGAGGATACCATTGGGAAGCCTCTTACAGGAGTGCTACTTTTACTGTCTCTGAGAAGTGACCAGATGGTAAGACTCTTTCTAGTACCTTTCTCTACTGTCTCTGCCACTTGGTTAGTCTAAAATGACATTTGGAAGTAACATGAATGAGGTATGCTAATTTACTCTGCCAAATTCTAGGTACTGATTTAATTGTATAATTAATTTAATATGCAAAGTTTGCAATCTGGATTTCTGAATTAAATGTGAACAGCTTAGGCAACATGTAAGGTAACATCCGCTAAGTCTATACCAGTAGTAGGCTCCACTCAGCTCTCCTTGCTTATGCTGGTTTTGGCCAATCTATCATCACAATGAATACTGAATGATAGGATTTCAAATAAAAAATCTCCTTTTTAAACTCCTTTTAGGAAAGGAGATATTTCTTCTTATGACAATACTGTAAGAAAATATGAAAGAATCCCCACCCTATAATTAGAGAGGCACACTGCAATGGTGCTGATGCAGTTTGATGCTAATTAATGGCTCCCCTCGCTTCACTCCTGTTGCCCTTCTAAGTAAGTCCTGTTATCACATACAGTATTTTAAAAGTTCACTCTATTTCTGCTGTTATTTTTCTATTCTAGAAACTAATACATGGATTTATACAGAATATATTTCATGAGCACAGGTAATCAAATGTTCAGAATACAGAATCTAAATCTGAAACATAAGAAAGCCTTCTGGTTTCAAAGCAGGGAACAGAAAGTAAAGTACCAGGGGATTCCTAAGGATGTTTTTTCTTTAGGTCAGAAACCACCGTAAATATGAATCCAAAATACCATTAGCAACTCCCTGCTGGTCAGATAGATTTAAAAGGAGTCACAAAGGCTTGCTAGGCCATGGTACAAGAGCAAGCACTCATCAGCATGGTACCAAAAAGAGTTCTTGAGGACGCAGCAGCTACTAATAGTATTGTAGGAAGAAAAGCACATGCTTACTATCCATGTGAATTCAGGCAACAGTGCACAGCACACAGATAGGCACAGCACACATTCACCGACTGCTGCTAAAGTGCAGGTCTCGAGGCCAAATTTCAGGAGTGTGCACACATGACTCATTTGTTAGAAATTTGCATATCACTACATTCATTATACTATGTATAACAAAACCCACTAATATTCATGTGTCTATTTTTCCAGTGATTGCATGTATCAGTAAGCCAGTATGCTATTGTTCTCCAAAATGTATAACTAGCCACAGCTAAGAGGCGCATTGTTTCTTACATTATACTGATCATGTTTTGTCTGCTTGTCACACTATCTTCCACACAAGGATATTCTAAAGTGATTCCATCTGTGGCTACCCTAGAGAGACTTTCTGGAGACAGAAAATACTGCCTCTTTCACAGGACTGGCTCCCAGCCTTTTCACTCTCTCCAAGAGACCATTTGCCAACTTCACAAGACCACATCAGCTCCTGTGGCTTCTGCATAAAAAGCTGGACAGTCTCTCAATGGGCCTGCTAATAATAAGGAAGCATGAGATGGGGACTCATCCCTTTGAGGGTAGAAGAGGGCCAGGGCTGTCCAGTCTGTTAGAGAAGAAGAAAGAAAGGACTGTACATCCGCCTCCTCACGTATATATAGGGGACTGTGCCTTTCCTGGGTGCTTGTTTGTTATTATTGTTGTTTTTGGCCATGTTGGCAGTGTTGGAAATGTGCTTTAAAAGATAAACTGTGGTAGAGGTGTGGTTCAGATTTCACAGGCTCAGTGGCAACCATTGGTCTGTCCCAGTAAGCATTTGGCCCCATTCATTCAGCAAGGCACACTTCAGATCTTGTTTTCTCTCTAGGGTAAGACAATACTGTTCTGGGGGTAAAGCAAATTCCAACAGTTCTGCTGTTATTGACACATCACTACCTAGTTTGGGTCAGACTTGCTGGTGCCCAGAGCCTCTAAGATGGCCTGTCCCAGGAGACTGGTATTTCTAGATGGTTCTTAAGATTTTTTTCCCATCACCGCAGCACACAGTTGTTGGCTGATCTCTGGAATGGGCAACATGTTTGCTTGAGGCAATGACTTTGAAGTGTCCTTTCTCACAGAATGGAGACAAACCAGCTCCCAAGTTTTCCAGGGTGATGCAGGGTTGAAATGAGTGATATTGGTGGAAAATATAGAATGAATCTGACTGAAAACAGGCTAGATCTCATTCAAAAGCCTACTGTGTAACCATAACAGTGGCAAAGAAGTTGTATTGTATCTGCACAGAGTTGCCCAGTGATCAGAGCTCTGTTATATTCAGGCATACAAGAAGTGAAGCACTTAACTCACTGTGACAAATGTGTAGCACTTTGCAATGAAATTGATTGTATCTGCACTTTCTTGAATGCCAGAGTCGATACAGGTCCAGTAACTATAACTTTCCTGCCCATCTCCAGTATTCCATTCTTGGAAAAGGCGCTAGGAGTGTGTGATGACTTCTAAGCGCCAGTAATTTCTCAATAAAACAGATTATCTAGGTCCATTTCACCTCATCACAGGGAACAGACTGATTTGGTCACCTTAGTGGACAACGTAAACCAGGAACTGGGTAGGGGAAGTGTGTCCTTGTTCTGCTTGAACCTTTTAGGAGATTTCATTACTAGGACCATGATATCTTGGGGAATCAAGATAGATCTGGATAGCTGTAGTGTTATACTGTTAAGATATAACTGGAGAACAGTGTCATCCAACTCCAGAATTATACAGCTCCAGGAGGGATGATCTTAGAAAGTGGTTGTGTTTATTTAAAATTTTTGTATCCTGCCCTTTACAGTGTCTCAAGGTGTTGTTGGATTCCTGTTCAACAGCATGGCTGCTGGAATGTTCCGCAGAATTCTAGCTTACCGCCTATTCTATTTAACTCAGAGAAGAAACCACTGGGAGAGATTGTTCAAAGTTTGGGGCTTAGGATGATATATGTGATGCACAGAGACCATGAAGAACACCACTGGTATACTGGTGACACCCAATTCTAACTCTCCTTTCCATCTAAATCCAAGGAAAGTGATCTGGTTTTAAATTGGTGTCTGATGTGAATAATAGACTAGATGAAAGCAAACAAATGGAAGCTTAATCCAGACAAGACAGCACTGCTATTGGTCAGTCAAGGCAGATCATGAAATAGGGATTCACCTGAAACTAAAAGATGAAGGAAAAAAGATAGAATGGTTTCAAGACTGAAAAGAGAAATTCAACCCAGAAGAGGCACCATAAGAGACCAGGCAGAATTTGAAAAGTTGATTTTGTAGCAAAAAGATCACTTATTAAAACAGGTTTACAAGCAATTACTGCAATATAATACTGAAACTGAATGTTAAAATATGTACAATTAGATGGATGGAGAACTTTGAGGAAGAAATATCCTTCCACCAATGGAAAACCTTAGAGATGAGAGATCTAAAATTTACAGCTCATCAAGAGAAAATTAATACAAGATGTTCGTTTGTTGATATTGAGAAAATTGACAAGAATTATAATGGAAGGTGCTGGAACTGCAAGGAAATAGACAGGGCTTTTTACTATAAGTGGTGGATGTGTAGTGATGTTAAAAAAATGGAAAGAAATACATGCTGAAATACAGAGAATTCTGAAAATTAACTTTCCCA